GGCGTCTGCTCAAGTCAGATAAGCTAAGGGCGCCCAGGAAACCGTCATCGTCCTCTTCTTCTTGATTGACTAAAGGTATGGGTGCACGCGACAGCGTATCAGCGTCTTCATGCTTCCGTCCAGACTTATATACGATGGTAACATCAAATTCCTGTAGACGCAAGCTCCATCGGGCCAGTCGTCCAGAGGGATCACGAATGTTTACCAACCAGCAGAGGGCATGGTGGTCCGTCACCACTTTAAATGGACGACCATAGAGGTACGGGCAAAACTTGGTGATCGCCCCCACTACTGCGAGACACTCTATCTCTGTGGTCGTGTAATTCACCTCGGTACGGGGCAGTGAGCGGCTGGCATAGGCTATGACTCGTTCTTTGCCGTGTTGATGCTGGACGAGCACTGCGCCGAGGCCGATGTTACTGGCGTCAGTGTGCACCTATGTGTCAGCATCGTCGTCAAAATGCGCAAGAACAGGGGCTGACTGCATCCGCTGTCGTAGCTCAGCAAAAGCAGCCTGTTGCTCAGTAGCCCATACAAACGGTGTGTCGTCGCGTGTAAGGCGAGTCAAAGTTCCGCTATCTTCGAAAACCTTCTAATAAATCGTCGATAGTAGGCGCACAAGCCCAGAAAGCGCCGAACAGTCTTTTTGTCTGTAGGATGCGGATACGCGGCTACAGCGGCAAGTTTGTCGGGGTCGGGTCGGACTCCTTTGGCGTTGACTACATGGCCAAGGAATTTGAGCTCTTCATAACCAAAGTGACACTTCTGCGGTTTGAGTGTAAGATCTGCTGATTGAATAGCCTGTAGCACACTCCTGAGGCGGTGAAGGTGTTGGTGGAAGGTTTCAGAAAAAACGACAACATCATCAATGTATACGAGACAAGTTTGCCACTTCAGACCAGTGTCCATCATTCGCTGGAAGGTTGCAGGCGCTGAGCACAAACCAAAAGGAAGGACTCGAAATTCATTCAGGCCATCAAGGGTCACAAATGCCGTTTTCTCGCGGTCTCGCTCGTCTACCTCAATCTGCCAGTACCCGCTTTTTGAATCCAAAGAGGAAAAATAGTGGGCGTGGCGTAATCCGTCTAACGAGTCGTCGATGCGTGGCAGCAGGTACACGTCCTTTTTAGTCACGCTGTTCAGCTTCCGGTAATCGACGCAAAAACGTAGCGTTCCGTCTTTCTTCTTGACTAAGACGACCGGAGAGGACCACGCATTGCTGGAAGGCTCAATGATGCCGTCGTCAAGCATTTCTCGAACTTGCGTACGAATGGCTTCTCGTTCCTTCGCTGACACACGGTAAGGCTGTTGGTGTACTGGCCGGGCGTCGTCGTAAGTGATGATTCTGTGCTTAGTGATCGAAGTCGGCCGCACCTTAGAGGAAGCAGCGAAGCATGACTTCAATTCAAGCAAGAGTTTTCGCAGTGCTGTCTGGTTTTCTGGTGTGAGGTTAGAAATAATATCGATATTGTTTAGAGACGTATCGGCGGCCTCCACTGCTTCCGACGAGAAGCAGATGAGAACGGTTCCTAATTAATCTGCAAACGCTAACGAAGTGCCACGGAAAAGGTGTCGGTGTTCGTTGCTGAAATTTGTAACGAGCAGTTGAGATCGGCCATCACGTAGCTGTATGATACTCCTAGCCACACAAACACCTTGAGTCAGCAGGCGTTCAAAATTACTTTCTGCAATCGCTTCACCATTTCGCAATCCACAGCATGTGACGTCGACAATAACACTGGCTCTTGGAGGAAGCGTTATACTTTCAGCAGAAACACGAAGAACGTCGGTACGTTGTTGGTCGTCCTGCTTGTCGATTGCTCGGTCGGCTGAGAAGGTGGTGCGATTCTCTTGAAGATCAATGACAGCTCCATATTCCTGCAGGAAGTCAACACCAAGAATAACGTCGCGTGAACATTCACGGAGCACAAGGAAACTTCCTACAAAAGTATAACCGCAGACCCGAACTCTACTCATGCAGGTTCCAAGCGGAGAAACGGTGTGGCCACTAGCCGTTCGAATCACGGAGCCATGCCAGGGCGTGAGTACCTTCTTTGGTAGTCTGGTCATTTTCCCGCTTAGTATCGAATAGTCAGCCCCGGTATCAACTAAAGCACCTACTGCATTGCCGTCAATCAGCACCAGTATATCCAGAGAAAGCCGCACATATCGCTCAGTCGAATCTACACCCTTTACTGTTAGCGTCGATTGGAGGTCTTCAGCACGTCGATTGCCAGCGACCTCGCCTCCAAGGGTCGCTTCCGTTAGTTTTCCCGGCGGGGACTGGAGGACCCTGCGGCTGCATGGCGCTGTGGCGAAGATGCAAAGCGCCTCGGCGACGGTGAGCGCGACTGCCGTCCAGAAGGCGGTGGCATGCGCTGTTGAGCCAGGTAGTCCTCAATGTCCCGGGGTCGCTGGCCATACCGAGGAGGCGCTGAATATACTGAAAATCCGCGCAGCCCGAGGCGCCGGTATGGACACTGGCGGTACAAATGGTCCGCTTCACCGCAGTGGAAGCACAAAGGTCGGCGATCAGGAGTGCGTCAAACATCAGATTTTCGAGGCGAAGCACGTCTGTCGTCAAGGTAGTGTGCTGGTTGTTCCGCAAGATGCACAGGGCTGGCGTAAACGAGGGGTGTGGCGTGCGTGTGTTCTCGTAGTAGCGTAGAGGCTGCACCGCCTGAGGTGAAAGCGTAGGAGGTGCCTGAACAAACAGCGGGGAAGAGGAAGCTGGGCGCTTCAAGGCTTCTGCATAGGTCGCACGGTGGTAGTCAGCCGGGGCGGGTGTGGCGTTATTCAGACTCACAGGGTCACGAAGGGCATGATGCAGCTCGTCCTTGACGATGCTTGCAATGTAACTCACCGTAGGTAGTGGTGGTGTGGCAGCCTTTTGCAGCTCCTCGCGTACTATTGAGCGGATAAGGTTGCGCAGACACTCGGTGTTGCTCCCAATATTCGTTAGAACTTGAGCAGTGGACGTGTTCACTTGCCGCTCATACAGGGTGGATCGATGCTGAAGCATCTTTTCCATCGTGAAAGCTTCAGACAAAAACTCGGCGACCGTGTTCGGAGGGCTCCGTACAAGGCCAGCAAAAAGCTGCTCCTTAACTCCCCGCATCAGGTGACGCACCTTCTTTTCTTCTGTCATACCCTGATCAGCCCGTCGAAACAGGCGCGTCATATCTTCCACATAGGTCATGACAGTTTCATTGGGCATCTGGATGCGGGCCTGGATCGCTCGTTCCGCTCGTTCGTGGCGATCAGCACTTCTTTAAGTATTCAACAGCCGGCAGCGGAATTCGAGCCACGATGTCATCTGTTCCTCGTGATTCATGTACCAGGTACGTGCTCCAACCTTCAAATAGAAGTACACACGTCGTAGTTTGGCCGCGTCGTTCCAGTCATTCAAAGCAGCCACGCGCTCGAAGTCGACCAACCAGTCCTCGACGTCTTCGAGCTCGGTGCCATGAAATGGTGTCAGAACCTGTAGACTTTCGAGGGTGTACCGAGTCACCGGGGGGTTTTCCGTACCAGTTAAAGTGGTTTAAACGGATGTGCTCATCATACTGGTGTGAACTGTAGGGTCAGCTTCGGGAGGCAATCCCCTGATCCTGCGGCTTGTCCGTTCAACGGGAGTGTAGACTCGCACTGGGCTTGTGGTGCCGCTTCCAGGAGAGGTCTGAAACATCCGTGAGGGGCCTACCCCGCACTTCCACCAATTGTCACGTCACTCCAGAGGGTGTCGAAGAGGTTTACTGACGTCTGAGCAACAGGGCTCTAACCAAGCGCGTCGGTTGGGCTTGTTTGCCAAAACCGGGGGGGGGGGGGGGCACGTGCACTTCTTTTTTCTCTGTCGTGTGAGCCTTCACCTTGGCATACGACCCACTACTAGAAGTAGGTGGCAATATTCTGCATGTGCGTCTTTTACTAGAAAAGGCATACATAAGTAATTCTAAGGACCGTAGCGTTTTTCACGCTGCGCTGGCCATGCAACGGTTGCACGATACGCCACGTGTTTCCAACGCTTTGCTGAGACGACACGGTGGTGGTACCTACCCGTCGCCTTGCGTTCTACACCTTATCACCTCTGAGACGGGCGGACACGCCCGTCTCATCGCCACGCGTTTCGTTTTCCAATAAAACTTCCAGATAGCGCTCATGTCTCACGTGTGACATGACTTGATGCGCTCGTTCGCCTCCACTGCACGCTCGAGGCACTCTAACGCAGCGCCTCCAGAATACCATTCGCCGATTTTCTTGCGCAGAACATCAAATAAATGTTTTGATGACTCTCTCCAGACGCAAGACTATTGTCTTTCGACGACATTTGCAGATTAACATGCAGATACGTGGCCACTTTTTTTTTCTAGGAACTTCATGCTAGGCAATGTGGTGGCGCCCCCTCTCACAACCCTATTGAGTCAGCCCGATGTCTTCGAAACATTTAAACTATATTCCGATAATTATTGCGGCTACTTCTTGGATATTGCGGCTAAGTATTATTTAGTCAATTTTAACCCTCGTATATGTGCACTCGTAGCCCTGATATGGGACATACTGAGCGCGTAATTAAGAGCGTCCTCACTGCAAGTGAGCTGCATAAATGGATGCCAAGCCGAGTCACCGAAGTGCATCTCACCTAGCGCCAGGCTTGAGGGGAACACGCAACACAGTCACAGCGAAAGCTATAATGAACAAATATCTAGAGTTCTTTGTAAACTGTGTTCATGGCGCACCTCTTCTAGCTACGTAGCTACACGCCAGAAGCCAAGAGGCGCTGAAACAATGCAGTAAATATGGTGTGCTGGAAATCGTGAGTTCAGGGCAAGAGATGTGGGAAAACATTGTTTCTGTGCACAATGCCATTTTTCATGTGCGCCAATATCGAACATATCCTTACAGTACCTCCATAACTCCAGAAAGCACAGTCATTGCGCACTCGTGCAGTGCAAACATGCAACAAGCTCTGCATGCTTCCTTGCAAAGTAAATCATGATAGGATGCAGCAGGCAGCACTGAAAGAAATGAAGTACCGTAACGCCGACACCGTTGCGTCTGATTGTAAGTGTTTTGGTGATGTGCAACTTTAAACGGTGCTAAGTGCCCCAGAGAGTGTGAGAACGATGCGTCATTTATGTTGACCCACACTTTTTTCACAAGCAAACACTTGTGCTTTTTTTTTTAATTTTGCTTGAAGAGTATTTCGTTGCTGGGAAATAGATGCCTTTCGTAACGCCTGTGGTCCATACTATTTGAAGACCCATAAACATCATCAAAGTGTAGTTCCCAGAACTTCTTGAAGCATTCTATATATGCTATGGCTAGCCGTCCTCACGAAACAATCGTAGAGTAGCGCACTTCCGCAAGTTGCGTTGGTGGAGGTGGTCATATAAGAAGGAGTTTCTCTTCTACGTTTCATTCAGTGATTAATGGGCAGAGTACGTTACTGGCTTTTCGAAAACAGTTAATTATTGTACAAATCATCTTCCCCATCTGCAGTGTACCTCCAGAGCTCACCTTGTGGGAACGCCGCCGGCTCCAAGCTCAACGTCTGCGTCCGCAACATGTTCAGGAATTTGCAGAAAGCCACTGAAAAAGCAGCACCCAACCAAGCTGTCTATCATGCCTGCTGGTATGTATGCGAAAGAAGTGCAGTTCGTCATGGGCTAATACTTGATAGACACAGTGTAATGAAAGTAGAGGATAATAACAGCAAGTAAGGGAGGCGGGACATTCATTGTAAGTTTGAATTGCGGTCTTCAAAGTATGGAACAATTAGAAAATAATAAAATTTTAGAGGAACAAATCCACGCATCTTCACGAAATGAATCATGAAGAGTCGGTGAAGCTCTGGCTGTATCGATTAATGACCGTGTTTTACCCGTGCGTCACACCGCATATTGAAAAAGAGTGGAATAAAGTTTATCTATATATGTAATTTAACCTGGCCTTCCACTCGCCTTAGGCGATTCAAGGAGAATTTGTAAAATACTGGAGGGAAGTATATGCCTTGGAAGTGGATCGTAGAACCACCCAGGGTTGGCAAGGTACCCTTTGTTTATGAGATAATTTGTTGTGCTCGACGTGTGTTTTTGTGTTACAGGGTTTCTTCACAACTCTCAACATCTATAGGAATACTTTAGTTGACATCAACTATTCAATACCCTTCTGAATGCGTTATGTTGGCCGAGAATAACGATATCTTGCCTGCATATTTAGCTCATCTCTACGTTGAAGCTTGGCGTAAAACCTGTGTGCGTGTGTGCGTGTGTGCGCGTGCGTGTGTGTGTGTGTGTGTATGTGTGTGTGTGTGTGGAAATAGGATAGAAGAAGAGGAGAAAAAAACAGAAACAAAGAATCTTCATGTGTGTGTGTGTGTGTGTGTGTGTGTGTGTGTGTGTGTGTGTGTGTGTGTGTGTGTGTGTGTGTGTGTGTGTGTGTGTGTATGTGTTTGTTGTATACTACTACCATTACAATGGAATAGCCAGCTCGAACATAGTTTATCCTTCCATGTTTTTTCGCATATAAATTGAGAAATAAGGTTGTATAGATATACACTGCATCCTCGCTTTGCGCTTCTAGTACAAAGATTTTTTTTTTTTGCTGGTTGACATCAGGGTTGGCGGTTTCTTCATTCACAATGCAGAAGGAAGTCACGATGTGTTTATGTCACTTCTTTGAAAAAAATTAAAAATACTCAATAACAATACATTGATGGGCATGTTGAAGTGCATTCAAAATGTTGTTAATGTTGTAATAACGCTCATTATTATCGTTACATTTTATCTGCAATTTATTGAAGCCTCAAACTTTCTTCATTTAATGAAACGCCTATGCATACGTGTTTCTACAATAATACATTAGCATTTATATAAGAGATGTATTCTGGAAAGAGAGGCCTTTTTTTTCTTGCTGTTGGTTGTGCTTTCTTCATTTACAACTCGGAGGAGGGTTTACGTCTATGTCCCTTTTTTTTCTGATAAATAGCCAGTGCTAAGATAATAATGGGAATGTTAAAGTTTATTTGAAACATTTAGGTTATAATAATGCTCCACAGTATTAGTGTTACGATTATTCTACATGGTAAGGCAGTCGCAAGTTCAGTCGTATTGAATAAAACGCCTTTAATAAAACGTGCTTCTGCAACGATACTTTAGTTTTCCATACTTGGGTTGTATTTTAGGAGGCAAGGTAATTTTTTTTCCTTGCAGAAAAGCGACCAATATTGTATAAGGTGTCGCGAGTCATTAACCTCAGAAGGCAGCAGTGGCTTAGGCAGGCTAAGTACAGCAACCTGAATGGCTTTATCGCAGTATTCGTTTCTTCTTATTCTTCCTATTAATATTATTATTATTATTATTATTATTATTATTATTATTATTATTATTATTATTATTATTATTATTATTATTATTATTGTTGTTGTTGTTGTTGTTGTGTTGTTGTTGTTGTTGTTGTTGTTGTTGTTGTTGTTGTTGTTGTTGTTGTTGTTGTTGTTGTTGTTGTTGTTGTTGTTGTTGTTGTTGTTGTTGTTGTTGTAATGCATTGGCGATAATTTAAAAACGCACGCAGCTACTTCGGTGAGCTTCTGGACTGCGTTGACGCTTCGCTAGGCGACTGCAACAACACGGCCGAGTCGAAGGAATTCATCATGGGTCGACTGGAGCACGTATTCGGAGAAGCGTTCAGCCTGGTGTGCGGCACCTACACGCGTGGTTCAGCCAGCTGCGCCACCCTGCCCGTGCTGCCCGAGCTCGACCCAGGCGCGGCCGAACCAGTCAACAACCTGGTCGAATACGGCATACTCGTCATGCAACTGTTGGGTCGACGCAACGCTGACACGCCAGTAGTACACTGAAATAAATGTGTTTTCTCGCTTCGCTAAGCTCGCCTAACTGTCAACCGATCATGTTATTCTTAAAATGGGTCTTGATACGTAAATAGAATTCGTAAGTTCGGAAAAGGTGAAAACGGAAGAAGTGAACGAAGATGAACGGCCACATTGACATAAATTCCTCCTACCGACTACATGCATAACTGCGAATTCATAGCGTGAAAATTACGGAGACAAAAGGAAGAGACGTAGACAACATGAGCGCATGTCTACGCATATTTCTTTTGTCCCCGTATTATTCGCGCTAAGAAATTGAAGTTATGCATCTCTGCCAACCAGCCCAACTTGCCGCACTCACTAACCGACTAGGTGTGAAGTCATAGATAAAGCAAGGCTACATGCGAGAAATATATATCAAGACCTCGAGGGGTGCTTCGTGCTGCACGTGCACTTCCCGCATGCTTCAGCTTCTCGTTTGTAGCCTTGGAAAATAAAAAAAAGATCCTATATTGAATGGGTAGATGTATTGTTCTTTCATTTGTTCATTTTCATTTGTTGCTCACACCAGCTGTCGTACATTTATATACGGTTTTGTTATCTGTTTGAAGCCCCGCATGGGCATATACTGATGTTCTGTGCATGTGAATAAATGTTCAGTTGAGAGTCGGCGCAAGTGTTTCGTGTTCCCTTTTCTTCGTCAGCATTCGTGTTACCTTGTGGCGACGTTGCAGTAGTATGAGCACATAAATTGACTATACTCACCATTTCTTGGCACAAGCAGCCATCATAACATACCAGTCAACCCTGATCATGTCATAGGGATCACCTATGAGTCACAACCAATTACCAAGTCATCAAACTGTATCGTTTGAACCACATGATCTTAGTGTACATCAGCCCAGAAAGCCACGTGCGCCCTTCCACAATGCTTGAAGGAAACATCACCGATTGACCGCTTCTGAAATCCTGCACTGTGTGTGTTCTGTGTACCATGCACCTCTTTCTCCTCTCTTACGTCCTCAAAACCCTTTCCCCACAAGTACGGTAGCTAGCTAGACGTAGCCTAGTTAATCTCTCTACCTTTCTTATAATAATTCTCTCTCTCTCTATTTATAACCGCAGATCTGAATAGACGTAATATATCAACCAATAAACCGGGTGGCCTATAGAAACTAGATCAAAGCGCATTTAATAGAAACTGTTATCGCACTGAAAACAGCTTCACATTCACTAACTTCGTTGAACATGCAGCTGGACAAATTAAAGGCTCTTTTCTGCTAGTGTGAAAGCTCTGCCACCGCTAAGATTTCGGTCTTTACTGTAGCGCGTGTAATTATCTGGAAACATCGGAATGTCTGCTATATCATCATTTAGCATGTTTAACGAAGTATTGAGCACGCTAAATTCGCGAACTTTATTTCGTTAGACATTTTCGCAATTCATCACAAGAAACGACACATTTGTTATTTTCACACTTATGCGGCCACTTCAGAGAAAACATCTATTTTATCTTTTTATTATGGAAATACTTCGCGCCATTGTATAACAAGGTGTCATAACGATGGCTAACATCGTTGCCTTTTTTCCTACGAGTTTTCAAAAAGTTCCTCTGCTGCTTAGTTTTCGAACGTACTACGTCCGGAAAGTCTTCAGCAGTTGCAACCGGGCTGTCGCTAAAGTTTCCAAAGTTATGCAGTACCAACTGTTCCTCCTGGTGTCAAGAAAACCTTGCAATGGATGATTTTTTTCTCTGTTGAAACCTGCCCGGGCGATGCGCAAGTTTAATTGGTAAGTTGCGCAGACTCGACGTACAAACGGGGATCAAGCATGCAACGCACACTATCTGAGCTCGTTTTATCGTTATAGTTTCATTGACCTCAGAAAACACGAGATAGCAGCGTCGGCTTTCATCATCAAGGTCTTCAGCTTTGGCCGCAAATGACGTGATAAGGCGACGCTAGTCGTCACGTGCATTTTTACTCTTCTACGGTCACACAAAACTAATCAAAACCAGATTATTTGGATTTCATTGACGTAATGCGTTCATTTAGGCCATCAATGGCGTTCTTATTTTCTGCCTAGGTTTTCTCAATGTCTGGAAGCGCACGTTTAATCTCTGATTATTTGATTGATTGATATACGAGGTTTAACGTCCCAAAACCACCATATGATTATGAGAGACGCCATAGCGGAGGGCTCCGGAAATTTTGACCACCTGGGGTTCCTTAACGTGTGCCCAAATCTCAGCACACGGGCCTACAACGTTTCCGCCTCCATGGGAAATGCAGCCGCCGCAGCCGGGATTCGATCCCGCGCCCTGCGGGTTAGCAGCCGAGTCCCTTAGCCACTAGACCACTATGGCGGGGCACATTTAATCTCTGCCTGTCCGCCAAGAAGTAGATTTACCTTTTCCCCTGGCTAGCGTTACCTGGCTCGATTTCAGCTTCTTCGTACACAAAAAGCAAGACAGAGTAGAAAACATGGCATTACAAAAGATGTAAATGAAATTTATGCTGTCGCCAATGTATATGAAGTATCTTTTTTTCGTAAGGAATTGTTTGGAGTAAAACCATCACAACATCAACTGTTAGAAAGAATGGTCAGAGTCTATTAACCTGGAAAAAAAGCGCACAAATAGCTTACGTGGCATCGTCGCGGCCATGCCTGTTCCACTCCCCAATGATTCAGTGTCAGCGTCTTCCTTATAATAGCTAAGTTATCACCTCGTAGCGCTTCCAAATTTCGCAAACCCGTGAGACAGCACACCACCCTAGTTCAGAAGAGCTGCACACAGCTATGTTAGAGTGTACTAGCGCAGGGTAGTGCCTGCAACGAGCTTAGAGTAGTGACGCCCAAACAGGGCCAAGCCACTCGTGGCGCTGCAGTCGGTAGACTGTAATGTGCCGTGATTCTAAGAGTTGTGTGTGGCTCCACCAAAGTGGTGTAATGGTAAAATGCCCACTTCCTACTTCGAAGGCTCACGTTCGAATCGTAGCTGGGTGATTCCACGAGAGATCGACACGGGTCCAAAAGTTGATATTTTAGATTCATTGAGTATTTTATATTTCGTGCACTTCTCACCAGGTAGCCCTAAAGTCAACTTCGTTTTCTTATTAACGCCATAACTTACGAGAAAAAAAATATCAAACTTCACCAACACGTAGGCACCAACTTCGTCACCCGTCATTTTCGAAAAGTGCAGATGCTATAGAAAGACAAACTTTTTTGTTTCAAGGAAGATATTTGTTACCTGAAATTGATGTCTAATGAAGAATGAACTCATACGGTTTCAAGTTTGCAGACCTTAAAAAAATAGCTTTTAAAAATGTCTCATTTTGCGAAAGCTTAGAATAAGTTACGTATTCCCCATTTTTTTCTCCAAAAGTAATGTAAGCAGCGTTTTCAAACTTGACAGGTTCTTGAAATTTAGTGTTTTCATTAGGTACATCAGTTATCGCTGCCGTAGGGCAAATGTAAATTTTTATATATTGCCTCAAATTTCTCATATTGGTAAAGGTGTACTCCACTGAAATATGAATAATAAAAAAACCCATCTTCAATTCTTCTTAAAATCTCGTAAATGGAGAACCGAAGGCCATCATACAGTAATATAGAAAAACATGTTGCATTATTTTGTTTTTAGTGGCAATATTCGTGGTACAAATCAGAGCTTTTCGAGAATGCGCTGATAAGTTGAGCAATCGAGAAATTGGAACGGAAAAGCGGCATTAAGCTTCAAACGCGAGTAAACGTGACCGCATTTGGGGAAGAAAGGCTGTTTTAGCCGATAGAAGTAACTATTTTGAACTCGGTATTTTACAGTATCTCAATTCACTTTTATACGTAGAGCACTGAGACTTCTAATATGTGGTGCCTCTCCATTACTGACGCACAGATGGAGCTGCTGTGACAGCCACATGTTTAGGAGGACGCTCTGACAGCCACATGTTTAGGAATCCCAGAAGATATTGAGGTAGCCTATGCAGTATGGGAAAGTGGCGATCTAGTAAAAAAACAGCCCAGTCAAGTGCTTTTCTGCGAGAGCTAATTCTATGGTTCGTGAAGCGGATTACCTATGATTACATAAGATACATTCAAGAATCAGCAATACGCCAGGTGAAAGAGAACCAAGAAAAAGCATCTTGCATTTTTCACTTTGATTTCGCCGAAAATTGGACAGTCATTTTACCGAATGAGGTACAGTCGTATCACTGGCACTAAAGACAGGTGTTTATATTCACGTGTGTCGTCACAAGGAAGCAATCAATTCAAAGTTTTGCGGTCATCAGTGATGACACATGCCATGATGCTGCACATTCCTGTTTTGCTCTACAAATAATCCACAACTATATGAAGGAACAACTTAAGCCTGATACGCATGTTACTTATGTTTCTGATGGTGCGTGCAGTCACTTCAAAAACAAGTACCAGTTGTTCGAGTTATGTCAGAAAGATCATATATCAACAAAGTGGATTTTTTCGGCCGCAGGACATCGCCAGAACTCTTGTGACGACGTTGGTGGCCTACTAAAGCATCAAGCTACACTCTACAACCTCAGAGCGGCAAGCTCAGCTTTGATTATGTCAGCATCCCAAATGGTGGTGCAAATGAGCGCGAAGCTCAAAAATGTCAAGCTGCTGTGTTCAAATGCAGACGAGCTAGAAACATTCCGTCAGTTTAAGAAGAGCCAGTGGAAATCGCTGCCACGTGTTCCAGGCATACCTTCTTTGCATGTTTGGCGAAGCACATCTGAGGGCACTGATCGTGGTCGTGTTTTGTTAGCGTCACGTACTGCTTAATGTGATCTGCAAAAGATGCAGCCATTTTGAGCTCATCTCTTGTTTCACGCAGTCACCACCAAAATACCAGTGAGGGTACTTCAAGCGCATATGCTTTTTCTAGCGAGACCCAACACTTACGTTGGAACATTTTCATGTTTGAGTTTATCTGCAAATATAGATAGATGTTTTGCAACTGAGTTACAGTGTCGAAGATTTCCTCCATTAGAGCTGTGTTATTAGGAGCATAAATGCGCCTTCATGGGTACGTATTTGTCACAGTGCTAAAACAGCCTTTCTTCACCAAATGCGATCACGTTTACTCGCGTTTGAAGCTCACTACCGCTTTTCTAATCCAATTTCTAGATTTCTCAACTTAGCGCATTCTCGAAAAGCTCTGATTTCTACCACGAATAGT